GCTATTTGGCGACACAAATAGGTAAGATGGCGGTGCATACCCACTCTTTGAAAAAAGGCATCCTACCACATGTATAAACTATTCCATATAATACGCCAAGATAATTATGCATTATTTATTTATTAATTTTAAAGAAGAAAGATGTTAAGTGATAGCCGCAGTCAATATATCTTCGCATCACGAGAAAAATAGCAGGTACGTTGTAAGCCTTAATAAAAAATAGTAGGCTCTTTTAACGATTCCTAATACATAAAGTTCGGATAAATCACTTGTGATTTGTGCGAATCAGAAAAGCGCTGTTCCGCTGTAGCGCTGCTTCCAATAACCATTCGTTTTTTTAATGTATCATCATGCTACGCTGTGTGTAAAACCTCCTATAGGTACCTCTCCTTTCACTCCTTTCCGAAATTAAACTAAATATATACAATTTGATGACCTAGATAGGAAGTATAACATTAACTGTAACATAATTTTATTCAATTATTATCCAACATAACTTGTTAAAGCCATTAATTATGCACTCGTTTAATTCGTACAAGCGAATACATTAATTGAGCTACGTACTTTCCTCAGATTCATAATTAATTGCCTCGTGTAAAATAACCCAAAATGGAAACTTAAATACGTAGGCAGAAATATTTATCTACATTTTTGACTATTAAGCAACATAGAATATTCTTAACAATATTTGAAGAGAATTTTACAATTTTATTATGTCGCTGTCTGTATAGTATATATTATAGTGTACATTTTTTTGAAATGAAACTTCTTTAGAATCGTTTGATTTGATTTGATTTTATTGAAAAAGCGACACTAAAAAGAGGCAAACATATGAGAATGAGATAGAATACAGTGTAATAAGCGACAGTAGCTTAATGGCATGTGCGGACCGCAAACTCAGAAAGTTGTGGGTTCGAATCCACCTACTTTTCTACGGTGTGTACTGTATCCGAATTCGACTACTATCGTAAACCACTCCTAACGCAAGAATTTTTAGCTTACCGGTAATGATTGATAGGGATATTAGTAATGAAATATTCCCTTTAATCACAATTTTACCTGTTAAATGAAGTAGATGGCAATTTTACTCGAAAGAAAATATTATTTTGATTTATCACACGGAAACTTAGTCATAATAAAAGGATTGTAACATTTATTTGTTATAAAACATTTACTTATATTTTATGCCTCAAAAAAATTATCATATTAAAATAATCATTCGCCGTGAAATATTTTTATTTTATATTTCATTTTGAAAATTTCACTTCTACCGCGCGTGAAATACACAAGTTTCTTTTCTTATTATAATCATTAGTTCAGTGATTGCCATTTATCGAACCTACTATAGCTGTCTGTAATACCCGGAAAATAAGTCCTATTTAAGGGTTTGGACTCATTATCTGGCCAGGAGTCCATTTGGTTAGGTAACACCCTCTCATTTATTTCTGTCGCCTAATAGCAGTGCTGCAGATAGCTATAGAAGGTTTGTTACCTCTGATAACTAAGATTGAATGCCTCACAGCCTGTAATAAAATATACACACTGGCTATTTATATCGTTCAGATCAGAACATAGCTGTCCATGCACTACTGCTTGAAGGAAGATATAGATACCACTCATCAAGATAATTTATGATAGACAGAAATGAAGTCCTACCACCTAGTGGACATTTTGTAATAGAATGAGGGTGACTAAAGAGCGCACAATCCACCTTATGTTAAGTGGATGCTTTGGCCAATAAAAATCAACATCTAATTTCAATTAAGAATGAAAATGCAGATACGTTGTCCATTGAGCACAATGATGGGATGCGTCGTTTCCAGTAAATAGGGTCTCCAGTTCTTTACACTCACCATACGAAACACAGCAGTATTGAGCTGCTATTTTGCGCTGGTAGAGTGTGAAAACACGATCCTTTCCCGGGTGTACCGACCAATTCGTGTTACATACATAACACTATTGCAGAGTGGATCTACCGCGTATAAACTTCTCTTCAAAAAGTATCCTGTAGAACACCGAGAGACAGGTAACTCTGCGTCTGTATATATGTATCTATTATATTAAATACATAATATGAAGCCTTGGTTGAAACTAATCAGAAGATCATCACTATTGATTTAACTCTTTTGACTATTGTCTTAACCCTTTTTAATAATTGTATATATTTATTATATAAAATTTAAATATGACTTACAATTAAATATTACTTCTGAAAAAAGTTAGAAACTGCGAGGATTAAACTCCGTTTTTCTAGTAATCGCGATACTTCTTCTTGAAAATAAAATAATTAAAATCTTATTTGGAATTGCTACTTAATTTACCTACATTGAGAGAAAACTAGTCTGGCCCACCGGGAAGGGTAAATGAATTAGGTAAACTCACTCTTAGTTTTAGTGGTTATCAGCAGCGGCAATCGACTTCAATATCTGGGTCGACCCGGCATACTTACTAGCATATTAATTACATTTTTTTTAATTGATTATCTCTTGAAAGGTTGAGACAAGACCAGCCATTACCAATGTTGTTTGTCTTGATTCTTGTTTTCATGTGGGTATCGATCACGTCGACTTCTTTTACAGACGCTTTTATTGGTACGCCATTAATTTTGTTTTGCATATAATTGGAAGGAAGGATGCTATAGAAATACAAAGAAAGCAAGCCAGTACTACTTCCTTCTTGATTCGCTTCACCAACAAGTGACGATTGGGAAAGAGTTCTATAAATTTGTTTTTGTTACGTACGAGTTAATATTTTCGATTAGATAAATTATGATTAAAATTCACTCCTTGAATTCATCTAACATGAGGGCTTACTTTCGAAATCGTTTTCAAATTCAATTCAATTTTCGATTCAAAATGTTGTTTTATACCTATTCTTAAAGTTACTCCCGAAACAATTGGACCGAGAAACACTATTGAGTTACGATCAAGTGTTATTAGCGCCGTTAAGCACAAAGAATACGGTAAATCATTTTAATACATAAAAATATTATTTCTTAAATATTTTATGACATAAATAGGATGAACTAATAAAAAAAGTTCTTCATCGCTTGTGATAACGAACGCCATCTAACAGCGACAGCTGAAGACTTTCGTTCTGAAACTTCCAATTTGAACCACCATTCGATAATTGTTCTACGGTTTCAGGAGTTCGAAATTTAAGTGAGTTCAAATAGAATTTGATTGATTTAGAATTCAATTATGACAGTAGTATGCCAGCTAGTTCCCGGGATCGAATCTGAGTCTGAGAATAAATATCTGGAGAAACACAATTATTGGTTATCGGATCGGATTACATTGTAATTACCCTCTTGTGTGCTCTGTAGTACATCCACTTTATCACACAAGCACTGCATCGTAAATAAAAAAACTAAGCACATTTTGCATATTCAGCATTACTTTGCCACTGCGAGACGGGATCATGAAATATATTATTTACTTAATTTTTAACTTTTTTTTGTTCAATATTGACGCTATATAGATATTTCAGTTATTAGTATTAAAATTAACAACTACAAAATGTATGTTTACCATTAACAATGCTTTAATTTGTGTTGCTGAAACAACAAGGACTCGAGTTAAGTTAGGTTAACCAATGTTAGTATACAATTGTGTAGCAACGACGTGTGTACAAAGCAATGTGGCTAGCCTCCAATAACTGAATGTCAGTTCCAATTAAATATTCTATTGCATATACGTGATCGTAAAATAGAACTATGTACTGATTAAACATATTAAATAAGAATAAAATACAAACTCTAAAACAAGATTGTACAACCTATGCGTGTTTCCAGTGATGACAAATGGAGCTGATGTTTCGTCCTTCTTTGTTGACCGTATGAGGAAAGTTAAGGTCGCTCATCGAGCTATGGACAGAGCTAAGCTCCGAGTTTTATTGCGTGATAAAATCCGTAACGATCATATCCGTATCCCACATACATATCCTAACAGATAAGATCCTGAAAATGCAATAAGTCTGTCATATAGCTCGACAAACCTACAACCAAAGAGTAATAAAAGTTCTGGAGTAGCAATCTCCTCCCGGCAAGTGAAGTGAAACCCGCAATAGGCGTAGTAACGACCTGTTAAGAAATGAATTTACAACTACAAATTATAAGAGCTGTGGTAGTTAATGGTTTGGGCGTTTGCAGCTGGCAATATTGTAACTGTTAATCGAAATTGAAAGTACTGATCTACAACGTGCTTAGTGGCTATAGTGAACATTGTGTTGTAAATTGATTTTTCTAGCAGTTTTTTGTGTGACACGATATAAATGGGACGAAATGGAGTAACGGATTTATTTACACCGCCACACAACAAGATAATTTGTAATATATATAACATGATGTAAAGATAAAAAGCTTTGCAAATACCACCAGCCACCGGATTTCATAGTCGAGAAACAGCAACACTCTGAAACCAAAACCTTTAAAATTGACTTTAGACTAGAAATTATGAAAGAGGAAAATTAATCTGGTATAATGTCCCGATTATTTATTTTACTTGGCTCGGAATCATGAAATATTTAGACTAGATCGCGAAACCAAATACGAAATCTCTTTTCCTCAGCGCCGTAAACAGCTCATTTTTGGAGAAACTTCACCACGTTGCTAAGTCAAGGCCTGTTGGCGAACATCGCAATTCCTAGAAATAATTTACGACGTTCAAAGTAGTCTTCCACACTACTTTCAACGTCGTATACCTATAAATACAATACTTAAAATTTTCGGCGATTATTGGTCAGGGGGTTTTCATGCTGGTCTACCTTTCCGGTGATCCTGTTATGGAATACGGGTACGCGACCCCGGCTCCCCGAGCTACTGTTATTCTCATACCTTTCCTGCCGAGATAACAGTATCCTTACACCTATGCTCCTACCCCCAAACTTCCTTTTCCTTTTCCCAAAATGGTAGCTTCCTCTACCAGCAATAGCATACCCAAAGAAGGTTGGTGTCAGGCAGGCGGCCGACTGTAAAACTTTTGCCAAATCCCATGCAGTAAATGAATAGTACGAGTTGTGGGACATATGACAGGGCTAGGGCGTACCCCGCAGGCGACGCGCAGGGGCAGCACCCGGCTCCTGTGGGAAGTGGGCAAGGGTTGTCGCACCTTACGGAGCGGGTGCGACGTAAGAGGCGAGCCCGGAGAGAGAAGAATGTCAGAGTGAGGTTTGCAAGCTGGAATATAGGTACGATGACTGGAAGAGGAAGAGAGTTAGCAGATGTTTTGAAACGACGAAGAGTGAATGTTGCCTGTTTGCAGGAAACAAAATGGAAGGGCAATAAAGCAAGAGAGATTGGGGAGGGATACAAGTTTTATTATTGTGGAAGTGATGGGAAGCGAAATGGAGTAGGAGTTGTGTTAGATAGTGGAATGAAAGAACGAGTGACAGATGTGAAAAGAGTAAATGACAGAATGATAGTTGTTAAATTAATGATTGAAAACAAAGTAGTGAATGTTGTAAGTGTGTATGCTCCGCAAACAGGCTGTGAAGAGAGTGTGAAAGAGAAGTTTTGGGAGGAATTTGATTGTATGATGATGGGAATACCTGAGCGTGAGGATGTTTATATGAGAGGAGATTTTAATGGACATGTAGGGAGAGTGAATGACGGGTATGAAAGAGTACACGGTGGATGGGGGTACGAATAGAATAGAATAGAATAGAATAGAATGATTTTTTATTCAATATGGATTATTACATAATACTTATTGAAAGTCATTATTTTATTTACCACTGGTTCGGAAAATACCTCTGTCCTGGGAAGAACCAGCAAGAAACCCAGCGGGACTTTTTTTTAAACATAATTTCACTTAACAATAATTTTGTTTATACAATTTTAAATGAATTTTCATAGAACCAGTATGGTGGCGATCACCTTATTCCCAGGGGTTATTTTCATTCATGTATTCCTTGATATTATAATAACCCTTTTTGTACAGTTTTTCTTAATTAAAACTTTTAAACTTGTTTATTGACAAACTTTGAACATGTTCTGGGATTCTGTTGTAAAAGCGTATACATTGCCCCATAAATGAATTACTAATTCTGTGGAGTCTTGTAAGTGGCATTACAAGCTTATGTTTGTTCCTAGTGTTTAAGGTATGAACATCCTTATTCTTATTAAAGCTATTTATGTTTTTATGTACATACATTACATTTTCATAAATATATTGCGATGCCAAAGTTAATATGTTTATTTCTTTAAATTTTTCTCTAAGGGACTCTTTACAATTTAGATTATAAATCGCCCGTACGGCTCTCTTTTGCAAAACAAATATAGCTTCAATATCAGTCGCATTACCCCATAGCAAAATTCCATAAGACATTACGCTATGAAAGTAACTAAAATACACTAACCTAGCTGTCTCAACATCTGTGAGACTTCTAATCTTTCTTACAGCATATGCTGCAGAACTAAGTCTGCTTGCTAATTTAGATATATGGGGGCCCCATTGAAGTTTCGCGTCAATAGTAATACCGAGAAAAACAGTGGTATCCACAAGACTCAACTCCTCCCCATTTAAGAGCACATTGGTTTTCGAATGTTTTACATTAGGTATTGTAAATTTAATACATTTTGTCTTATTGCCGTTTAAGAGCAAATTGTTGGCGTTAAACCAATGTACTAGTTTCGATAGAGCATTATTTACATCGTCATATTTAATTGACTGCCGTTTCAGTTTGAAAATTAAAGAGGTATCGTCAGCAAATAATACTATATCGTGATTGTCCCCTACAAGATAAGGTAAGTCATTAATATAGATTAAGAACAGGAATGGGCCAAGAATCGAGCCCTGAGGAACGCCCATTGATACTACTGATCCGGAGGAACATTTACCATTAATAACGACTTTTTGAGTTATGTTACTTAAATATGAAGTAATAAGTTTAAGCGCCAAATTTTTTACACCGTAATGTTGTAGTTTCCTGATTAATGTATCATGATGAACACAATCGAAAGCCTTGGAAAGGTCACAGAAAATACCTAAGGCATCTTGTGAATTCTCCCAGGCATTAAAAATATATTTCATAAGCTCAACACCAGCGTCAGACGTCGAGCGACCCCTTGTAAAACCAAATTGATTTTTATGAAGTAATTTATTTGTATTAAAAAAAATTAACAATTGATCCAAAATTATTTTTTCAAAAATTTTACTGAGAGTTGGTAGTACAGAAATAGGTCTATAATTAGCGGGGTCCAATGTACTACCAGATTTAAATAAAGGTATTACTTTACTATACTTCATTAAATCAGGAAACACACCAGAATCGATACAAGTATTAAAAATAATAGCAAGATGAGGTGCAATTAAATCTATTATGGACGCAATCACTGTAACGGAAATCCCCCACAAATCTGCGGTTTTCTTTACATCAATTAGTTTTTGAATCAATAGGTTTTGAAGTATTTTACAATATTATGCGGTAATACTTTTTCAAATCTAAATTCTTTTAAACAGGTATTAACATTCTGTTTAAGTAATGATTCGGCGACAGTTGGAGAAGCATTCAATGACTCTGTTGTCAAGATAGGAACATCACTGAAATATTTCTCAAACACCGCTGCAACTTCTTGATTTGATTTAGTCAATTCATTATTAATTTTTAATTGATAGTTTGAATTACGAGGTTTCTCTTTACCGGTTTCGCTGTTAATTATACTCCACGTCATTTTAATTTTATTCTTAGCTGTCTTAATTTTGTTACTAATATGTAATGATTTGGCTGTGGAGCAAACTCTTTTAAACATTTTAGAATAATTTTTTACATATTCTTTAAAAGCATCGAAAAGATTATACGATCTTTCATGGTAAAGGTCATATAACCTTCGTCTGCTTTTATGAATTCCTACTGTCGCCCACTCATTAAATGCCTTGCGACTGTTTCTGGAGAATGTTTTAGAAGTGAATGTTTTATTAAATTCATTGTTTATAAAGGTAAATAATTCTCTATATAAATAGTCTGCATTGTTCTTATAAGAAAGGGATAGAAGGATTTTAAACATATTACTTCTAAATCTCTCCAGGCGTTTTGCATTAATAGGATTGTTCCTATTAATGCAAAACGCCTGGAGAGATTTAGAACACAATTTTCTCATTTACCTGTTTTTTGTGCATATAAGGTAACGAAACCAGTTGTCCACAGTGATCTGAACTAAGTTTTTGTATTATTGATTTGTTGATTGGTACAACACCTGTAAAAATATTATCAATACAAGTTGCACTACACCCTGCAATACGTGTAGCTTCAAAGAATAAATTATTAAGATTATAGGATTTGAACAAAGAACAGAATTTAATACTGATGGAAGAAGTTTCCAGGAGATTGATATTAAAGTCTCCACACACTACAAGAGATTTATTCTGTTTATTAAGCTTAACTAAAACTTCTTCCATAATTTTTTCAAAAGTAGTCTGTAAAAGTAGGGGTCTGTAAACACTGACAACAATAAGGTGCTCAAGCTCAACACATGCCATTTCTACAGTACGCTCAACAGAGAGGCTCACAATGTCTTTACGTTCTTTACATGATAAGGACTTATTAGCTAATATTAAGGAGCCACCACGTAATTTAGTATCTCTATTGAACGAACTGACCACCTGGTGATTACTGAAATTAAATATGGAGTTGTATTCTTTCAACCAATGTTCTGTAATACATAAAATATTTATACTGTTACTATTTAAAAACAAATCAATTTCTAATTCTTTGCCTAACATACCTTGTATATTTTGATGCACCAGGTTGATACAGTTTTTATTATTGTTATTTTGTAAAATTGCATAATTATGTATTGGTAAGTTGCATTCTAAGCTATTTAAATTATCTTTGCTAGAGATTACCTCTATTGTCTTATTATCTAATTTAAATTACTTGGAACTGGTTCCAAATCAAATATAAAATTATTTTGTTGCTCAAAAGAAGCAGGTGTCAAGGTAGCCAAATCATTGGCTGAGTTAAAATATAAATAATAAGATAGCGTATTTGCTACCAGTCTTAAACTATACTTTGATAGGTAATACCTATCTCTTGTCAAAAACTTCTTAGTTAAATTATTAATATCAATTAAATGAAATTTATCATTATTATTCTTACAATTAAATGTCAAATTTAAGTTATTGTTACATGTCAAGTTATGCATCATTAAATTTAAATTATGTCTTAGTTTATTTTCCTGTGGCCACCCCTCTATGTAAGGCAATGTAAACAAGATAACTTTAACCACATTTATGTTATTGAGATATTCAATATATTTTAATAATTGATTCTTGTTCATATTGCCTCTTCTCCCAACAAAAATTATTAATATACTATTAGGGTTAAATTTACTAGTTAAAATTTTATTCATAATATCACTGAATGATGCTCCAGGCATGCAGTAATTACTTATCTGTTGGCTTTTTAAACAGTTATTCAATGATATACCCAAGTTTTTGCCTATGTCATCACTATACACAATTATATTATTTTTTCATTATATGGATTACTTTTTAAATTTATCTGCTTTGTTATGGTACTATCATAGAGTGTAGGTAAAGAAAATGAAGTATTACTGCTTGTCATATTATTAACACGGAGTGCGGAACCGTGAGGGGGAAGTTCTTCTGCAAGCAGCATGTGCTTTCGACCTGGCTGTAGTAAACACGTGGTTCCAAAAACGAGATCAGCATCTTGTTACTTATAAAAGTGGCCACCACGCGACACAGATCGACTATCTTCTGATAAGACGGAACCAAATCAAGAGTGTAAAAAACTGCAAAGTGCTTCCAGGTGAAGACTTAGTATCCCAGCACCGAATTCTGCTGGCTGACATCCGCTTAACTGTTCGCCTCAACAAACATAAGGATCGTCCCCCACCCAAAATAAAGTGGCATTTGTTGCATAAGGAGGGGTATGCAAGTGAATTTAGAGAGCTAGTTGTAAACAAGATGACAGAGATGGGTGATATGGAAGGAATGAGTGTGAATGAGTGCTGGAAGGAAATGGCTGATTGTATCCGAAGTGTGGCAAGGAAGGTGTTAGGAGAAACAAAAGGGAAGCGTATGATAGATAAGGATGGGTGGTGGTGGAGTGAAAGTATTAGAGAAGTTTTGAGAGAAAAGAAAAATGCCTTTAAAGAATGGCAGAGCGTAGAAGACCAGAATGAATCCATAAAAGAAAGTAAGAGAGGGGCGTATAAAGAATGTAAGAAGAGAGCGAAGAAGGAAGTTGCTATTTGTAGGGCAGAGGCGCACGATAAATTATATCGGTCCCTTGAAAGCCCCGAAGGTCAAAAACGACTTTTTCAAATTGCAAGAGCGAGAGAAAGGAATGGAAGAAATGTTTCACATGTAAAATGTATAAAAGATGATTCTGGAAGGATTTTGACTGACGATGAAAGTATAAAGAAGCGATGGAAGGAGTATTTTGAGAAATTGATGAATGAGGAGAATGAATGGAATGGTATGCTTGAAAACCGACCAGTGAATATGGGCTTAGTGACAGAAATTAGTGTGGAAGAAGTAAAAATGGCTGTTAGGAATATGAAGAATGGGAAGGCGGTCGGCCCAGATGGAATACCAGTAGAAGTGTGGAAGTTGCTGAGGGCGGATGGATGGAAGTGGTTGAGTTTATTTTTCGGTAAATTGTTGCAGGAAGAACAAATACC